ATAATAATAATAATAATAATCGAAATTGTTTACAGGCTGTTATTTTCATTCAACGATGTATGATCATTGTCGCTATCCTACTTTGTTATTTTCATGTTCAGAGTGAAAGCGTGAATTGCGAGTATGTATGCACAATATATTTTATGTATATATAAAATTTAATGATCAAATATAATGATAAATATAATAAAAATGAATGCTAATTGTGTACTTTATATTTCTTCAGATTGTATCCATTCCATCATACTTGTAGAGGTACAATGTCGAGGAAACGTGCGATGTTCCCAATTGTGTACGGATCAGGATGTGAGGAAAATAAAGGAAATATAAATTGTATCAAAGAATTTGAAGAAAAACATCATATTGCCTATATTCCGTTATCGAAGTCAAAACTCTTAATTGCTTTGCTTGATGATGTAAGTGATTCTATTAGTTTTTTTTATCAATGTATTAATTAAATAAAAATTGTAAAATATTAAAAAAAAAAATAATAGTAAATTGTTATATTTAATATTTTCATATCAATATTTCATTCAAATTGTTATAGGATTTACGAAAGGATATTACACGATCAATCCGCCATAAATTAAGGAACGATGAAATGATTAAACAAAATTCAGCTTTAATGGAAAACTTTTTATCGCAATTGGACTCTTCGGACAATTATTGAATGAAATGGTCAGGAAATACAAATTTTCTCGGCTCTTGCAAGCATTTTTCATCATTCAAACTTTCAAAAATGTATAAAAGCATATATGTTTAAATCTTCGTTGTCTTCCTTTCTCTCTCTCTCTCTCTCTCTCTCTCCCCCCCCCTCCCCCATATACAAAATAAAATACTTTCATCAATTCCACTTTTTTCATTTTTTTAAAAATCTTACTTTTTTGTCTTTCTATCTTTTCCTTTAATCCTTTAATAATTATTATTACTTTTTTAATGTCTTTAAACAAGATTAAAATATTGTATTCACGTTATTAACAATATACACGTGTTGTAGCATAAAAAGATACATTTGAAATTCGAAGTAATTCCTTGAATTGTCCTATTAAAAAAGAGGGAAATTAAAATTAAAAATATCGTTTAGAAATATCATTTTATTATAATATTATAGTTATTATTTATTGAATTTATATATAAACAAACATAACAAAAAAATAATACAGACTGATTTTGAAAAGTTTAAAGAAAATACGTAATTAATAAAGTTACTTATTTCTAATATTAAAAAATTTAGAACTATAGAACTTTTATTTATGTAAATTCGAAAATGTACAAATATTAAAATATAATATATATCATAACAATCTGAATTTTATAATTATTATAATAAATTATATTTGCGAAATTATTTTTTAAACTATTTAATTATTAAAAAAAATAAATCAACGATTTATAATTTGTACAGGAATCCAAAGTAAAATCTATAATATAAGTAATGAAAAATAAACAAAAGAGGAATAAAGAATAATAGATATAATAAAAAATTATTAATAATTTGTATGTATATATTATTAATAATATAATTTCTTTTCAAATGATTAATTATTATTTGTTATTATAATTAAAATATATATTATTTTATATTATATACTATATCTATTACAATTTGTAAAAAATTTATTAATATCATAAATGATAATGAATGTGTAATATACAATTAATTCATTTATATAGTTAATTTAAATTAAATATACAGATAATCATCAATAAAACATAAAAACATAAATACGTACATATACATATATATATATATGTATATATATATATGTAAAAAGTATAGTACATAATATAAAATAATATATATTTTAATTATGATAATAAATAATAATTAATATATAT